CCCCGACGCTCGGTGCGCGGCGCCCCAGGTGCCCGGCGTGCGCCCGCGGCCCCGACGCTCCCCTGCGGCAGTCGCCGACGCTGAGGTCGCCCAAGTGGGTGGCAGCTTTCGCTCCGCTCCCGGGCGCACCGAGTGATCCGGACGCCTCCCACCTCGGGGCTCCAGCCCTGGCTTCGCCGCGCGCCCCAACCAATCTCTGGCCGCCCGGCCCCCGCCCCAAGGCAGGGAGGCAGGGTGGAGCCCCCTCGGCCCCTCCCGCCCGGCTCCCGCGTCCCGCCTAGCGCCGGCTGGTGAGCCCCTCTCCGCTCACGAGCTTCCCTGCCACCGCCCGGTCTCGCGTTGCGCCTCTCCCCGGGGCTTCCTCACCTCCCTCGGCACTTTCCTCGCCCCTCTCCTCCATCCTTCCTCCTTATCTCTCTCCGCCACAGCCTCTCCTGTTCCTTTTCTCACTCACTTCACTCGCTTATCTCTCCGCCTGGGCCTTTCCCCCTCCGCTCTGCTTTCTCTTCCCTAACACCTCGGTTCTCCCTTCTCCCGGCAGGAGGCTCCTGGCTGCCCACACCCTCCTGGTCCAGGCGGGCAGTTCTTCACCCCTCGGCCCTCAAGCATTCCCTGAGCTCCTGCTTGGTGCCGGGCACCACACTGGCTGCTGGGGAATCAGAGATGGGTATGACCCAGAACGCACCTCCAGGGACCTTACAGCCTAGTGTGGGCGAAGATGATCATAACTACTGTTTAGTGAGCTTTTACTAAGTGCCAGAGACACTGCACAGCACTTTACAACCTTATCAACTACTATTTCTAATGATAGCTAATCCTTACTGTGTGCCAAGTTTGTTCTAAGCACACTGCGTGAATTACCTCATTTAATTCCCACAATAATGCTATAAGGTGGGTAGGTACTATTATCATCCCCCCTTTGCAGATAAAGGAAGTGAGGCAAAGAAAAGATTGGTGCCAGGCCTTGAACTCAGGTAGTCTGGTTTCAGAGTCAGAGCCCAGATACAACCAGCATTCTCGATGCTGAGTCTGCAGGCTTCATGGCAATGGGAGGCTCAGAGAGGTAAAGTAATTGGCCCTTGGTCACATAGCTAACAGGTGAAGGATCCAGGATTCCAGGTGTTGGGCTCCAAAGGCCAGGGCTTAATCACTCTGCCCTAAGATAAATTCCAGCCTAGGGTAGGGAATGCTATGGGAAGAGAGGGTACCTCCTCCAGGAGCCGGGAGGAGGAAGGAGTTGAGGAGGCTATCCAGGGAAGCATCAGAGAGGAACCTCATGTTTGGAGTCTTTTCCTCCTGGCTGGGCCCTGCCTTACATTGGCTTTCCTCTGGGAGGAGCTTTGGACCAGAGGCTTGGGGGTGGGAGGCTCCTTCTTGAGAGCCTGGCCTGACCTCCCAGCCTTTGGTGGGGAGGGACCCTGGGAGGTGTCTCGTAGAAGGGCTTATGGTGCCCTGGGGGCTGGCTCTGCTGGGAAGCAGGAGTGCTGGGGCACTTGCCCCCTCCGCTCCTGCCCTTACAACCCCATCCCCATCCTCCTGAATGTTTCCAAGGCTCCTGTCTTCCTGTGGACCTGTCCTTGCAGTGGTAGTGGAGAGAGGTGAGGGACCACTCCTATTGGTAGTCAACAGACACACATGAAACACCTACTGTGTGCAAGGCTTGAGGTGTGGTGCACACATCACAGAGGGGGATACAGAAAAGCAAGACATAGGCCCCGCTTCATCTGATCAAGTTGTGAGAAAAAAACACAAGGCAAGGCAGAGGAGCAGAAGAAAATTCATCAGACAGAGCCCAGGGGTGAGAGGGGATGTCTTTTGATGTCCAGGATGACCTAGTTGGGTCCGGGTAGACCAAGCCCCCCTTCTCCCTCTCCCAACCCCAGCACGAAGAGGTTCTGCGGGTGACCACTCGAAGGTGAAGAACCAGTCCCCACAGGGCTAGACAGCATAGTGTAGTAATGGTGCAAGCGCTTGACTCTGTGGACAGAGTCAGGTTCAAATCCAAGTGCATACTCCCTGAGTGACCTTGGGCAAGTACTTACTGTTCTGACCCTCCATTTCCTTGTTTGTAAAATGGAATCTCCTCAGCAGTTGTTGTAAGGGGCAAACAAAATGATGCATGGAAAGAAAGCTGCCTGCACAACGCTAGCACATAATAGGCACCTAGGAATGTTAGATCTCCAAGGGATGCGTGACCTTAGGGTAAAAATGTGGTGTATGTTCTGAAAACCCCCTCGGACACCTCGGCCCTGGCTCTGGTTTGGGACTCTGACCAGCAATCCTGCTCCCTCACTCCAGCTTACCCGTCTCCTCCCCTCTGGGCTTGGCAGGGCTCCTGCACTCCAGGGGAGGTGTGGCCTTGGGCACTGGAGGGGGGGTATTGGAGCTCTCCAGGTGGTTGTGCAAGGTGCTGGCTCCCTGGGCAGCTGGTCGCCGTGCTGTTCTTGGCGGGCCAGTGCCCGGCCTGGATAGAGCGAGGCATTGTTCTCTCTGCTGGTTATGTAAGAACTGCACATGGTTTGAGAGCTGGGTGAGTCTGTACCTGGCAGCTCCAGGGGCTCCGAAGGGCAGAGGGGCCAGGCTGGAAGCCTCCTGGAAGAAGAAGATAGGCAGTCTTTACCTGGCAACTCTGCCTTGGGGACCCCTGAGGCTTCCTGACACGGGACCCCTGATGAGATGGAGGAGGGAAGCCCTTTACAGGAACAGAGCCCAGGTGGGAGCTGCACCCTGGGGAGTCACTCAGGGAAGCTCTCCTTCTGAGGCCAGGCCACTCGGTTATCCTGGCTCTGTGGCAGAGAAGGGAGGAGGCTGCACTCTGATGTGGTACCCTTTCCTGATGAGGCTCTTCTGGGCCCTAGGCAGATGACTGGAACACCTGGCATGCTGGGCATCTGTCCATTTTGGAGCTTCTACAGTCTGTCCAGGCGCACATTTTCCCCAGCTGATGGAAGGGACCATTCGTTCAAAAGAATGTGTATTCATGGTTTGTTGTGAGCAAAGTTCTACATATATACTTCTTAGATCAAACTTGTTAATTATGTTATCATATCCTATATTTTTCTACTTTTTTATTGCCTACTTTAATGGTTCTCTAAGTGTGGTCAGGGTTCCCCTGAGGGTCCCCAAGTCTACAAGGTCAAAATTGTACATAATTTGAAGATCCACTCAAAGTATATACAAGATAGACCAATAGATTTTAAGGTAACAGAGTAAGAAAAGTTTATTGATGTGGATTCAGATTCTACATTACAACCAACATTTAAGGAACTGTCACATGTCAATTTTTGGTAGTATCAAAGAAGAATATCCACAATATCTGAAAAGGCTATTAAAATACTGTCTTTTCCAACTACATTTCTGTGTGAGGCCAAATTTTCTTCATATACTTCATCCAAAACAATGTATAACAACAGATTGAATGCAGAAGGAGATATGAGAATCTGACTGTCTTCTATTAAACCAGACGTGAGAGAGGTTTGCAAAAATGTAAAACAATGCCACTCTTCTCACTAATTTTTTTCCTTTGTAAAATATAATTATTTTCCACAAAAGTTTGTTATTTATGTTAACATATAATGGGTTTATTATTGTTATCTTAAATGAATTAATAAATTAAAATTTTCCTCAGTCTTAATTTTAAACATGGTAAATATTGATAGGTGTAAACTCACATAGACAAAAGCTCTTTAATTTAATATAAAATCTCAATAATTTTTAAGAGTGCAAAGGGGTCCTGAGACCAGAAAGTTTAAGAATTGGTGGTTTATTTATTCTGTTCATTTCTGTTAGAGGTGTATAAAATCTACTTTGATTGTATTTGCTAATTTTTCCTTTTTTTTCTTTTGAATTAGGTTCGCTTTATATTTTTTGAAGCTATGTTGTTAGGAGCATAAAGTTTCATGATTATTGTATGTCCCAGTTGGACTGTAATTTCTATCTGTATGAAATAGCTTTCTTTGTTCCTTTTAATGCTTTAGTCTTGGGAATAATAATTCCATGAACCAACATTTAACTAGACCCTGCTATGGGCCAGGCATACACGTGAAAGAGTCTCAGTCCCTGTCCACGTGGAGAATATGGATACATGAAGGCGAGGTAGTGTAGTGCAAAGAGTCTGGGCTTTGAGTCAGACTGACCAGTGGTGAAGGCTGACCGCTTCCTAGCTGTGTGTCCTTGGACATATGTCTACTGGTGTTTGAACCTTAGTTTCTTCATCTGTAAAATGGGGTTAATAACATCTATTTACTGGGTGGTAGTGAAGACTTACTGAGATAAGGGATGAGAGAAGCACCCAGCAGAGTGCCTGGCATATAGTAGCTCTGTGATCGGTGCTGTAACAGAGCCATAAGCCAGGAGACCTGCTCCATTCATGCCTCCTTACAAGGCCCCTGGGAGAGGCAGTGTGCAGCTGTGGGGAGAGCACCAAGCTTGGATTCAGAAGATCTGAGCTGTGTGTTTTCAACTTATTAGTCAGTCCCTCCCCCACCTTGAGTCTGTTTCCTCGTCTGCGAAATGGGAAGGACTCTCTCTGCCTTGCATTCTCCATGGGCTATCTCGAGGATCAAATGAGATAATGAAAATGAAGGGAGTTGGGATGACAATGGAGGTGACACTGACTTTGTTCTTGGCCTGAGGTGGGACCTCTTCCATCACCAGCTGTGAGAAAGTCCTGCCAGCACAGGCTTGCCTGCCTCCCCGGAGAGCTGGGATACCAGAAGTGGGGAGACAGAATCTGGTCCTTATTTCAGAGTCTCCTGGAATTATCTGCTTTTTACAATCTCAGTGTCCCCCCCACCGCCCCAGGACACCTGTCTTCTTGGCAGCTGCTGTCGAGTGCTCTGCAAAAAGTCCAGGGTGAGTGGTGTGTGTAATTAAGAGAACCACTGGTGCTAGC